TATGGATACTGCCACCTTCTGTAAAAAGTCGGATTCTGCCTTTGGATAACAAATGTTTAAGAAATTTTAATTTTTAAGGTGCTGTATGGGGGGCAGGAGAAAGCTCTTTTCAGTGAATTCTAAAATGTGGGGAAGACAGCCCTGGGAACAGAAGAACAGCCAGACTATCATAGCTCTGCTATATTCCCTGACAGTTACTGGGAACATTTCAAATATTGAATTGATATATCATAGAACAACATTCTCCTTTAGAACAACATATCTCCAAACTGCTGTTTCATTACTGTTTTTCTTGTACTCTTACAACCTCTTGAAAAGTTCTCCATTTAAGAGAAGAAATAGCCCAAAGGGCACACATTTTTGAACATATTTTAATTTTCTGATTTTTTTTTACTTACTGCAGCTAGAAAGAGAACTGACTTTTGAAAACTTGTCTGCATGGACAAATCCAGAACTAATGGAGAAAATGAACATGGAAGTTTATCTGCCCAGGTTCACATTGGAAGAGAAATATGACCTCAAATCTACTTTGAGCAGGATGGGGATACGAGATGCCTTCACAGAAGGTCAAGCTGATTTCACAGCAATGTCCAAGACTGGTGATCTGTTTTTGTCACAAGTTTTCCACAAGTGTTACCTGGAAGTCAATGAAGAAGGCACAGAGGCAGCTGCTGCCAGTGCGGCAACACTGGCATCACGAAGTCTTGGTGCTACTATTATCTTTTTGGCAGATCACCCTTTCCTTTTCTTTATCAGGCACAACAAGACCAAGACTATCCTCTTCTTGGGAAGGTTTTCTTCCCCCTAGAAGCTCGATTACTAAACAGGTTATTGCAACAACAAAAATGAACTAAATACACACCAAAAAGAACATCTCAATAGCCCGTGCACTTCTTAATTTTCCTGTACTGTTGGCAAATCTCTCAATGTTAGAAGAGGGTATTTATGAAAAATAACCGCAAATTTATGCCTCTGGCTCATTTTCCTGGCAAAAAAACCCCAAAATACTTGCACATGCTAAGTACCCAACTGTGCAAAGAAGAACATGACTGTGTCTTTTTAGCACTTTCTGAACCTGAACTTCGACAATTCAGAACGGACTGAGTTGAGCTCAACCAGTAATTTTAAAGTTTTGATACCTAAGAAGATGAAAACCCAGGAAAATCTTGCAGAATGCTGCTGCATCTCCATTGGTTTCAGCTCATGCTGATCCCCAAAGCAGGCTACTCACCCACATTCTTGTCAGTTTTTTACCAACTCTGGTAAAAAACTGCAGCCTGGCAGAACTGGCAAAAAAATAAACCTGCAAAATCACCTTTGTTCCTGATACTGGTGCTTCTTTTTTTTGCTCAAAAAGTGGTTAACACATGTACTTTCTAATCTCTGTCCCACAGCAACTGGAAAATATTTAACAGCACTATAGAACTAGGAAAATAAAACACATGTGCCTCACAGCCTTCTCCTTTGTAAACTTTCACCCTTACAACACTATGTCCAGCCTAGCACTGTATACTGCTTTGCTCTCATTTTACTTTGCCACTTATTCACTGGTTTGAGACAAGGCAAAATGGGAGAACCAAGTCTACAGCTAATACAAGCAATACTAATGGCCATAAGTGCTTTCTGGAAGATGAATATGAATCTCCCAGGTCATATTTACTCCTGTCACTACTCTTTCTCCTAAGAGAGTGCCCTGATCAATCATGCATGTTTGCAGGGAATGCTCCTGAATACATGAATTCACAACAGACAGCAAAGGACCAGGTTTCTTAAGGACTTGCACACACCAACAGCTATCTTACTACAAACACATTTTCTTGAAACAGCAGAACTCCCTTTTCCTGGCAGAGACTGCTGACTGTCCCTGCATCCTTTCTCTTTTCATTCAAGTGGTCAATTGCTCCCAGAGTCCCTTCTGGCTCTGCTTCCCAAATGGGAAGGAACACAGGAAAAGTGTTATGAAGCACGTGCTTTATCCCTATAGAGCCCCAAGAGAAATGCCTTCTGCCTATCTCAGCTTTGAAACGTGACACTGGATCCCTGTGCATTCAGTCCAATTCTGCCATGCCCTCCTTCACCTCATGGAAGAGCAGCATGTCCCCATGGATAAGCCTCTTAAGCACTTCCTGATATGCCTTGGGAATAAAGACAGAAAAGTCACACCTGGAAGGCCAAGGAGAAACAAAACTATAACAACATGAACACAGACTCACTCAGGCCTTTAAAGTCAATGGAAATACGAGTCACCTTTTCCCCCTCCTTCACTATTTTAAGCATGGTTGCAAAGATGACACAGTTGATGTCCTTTTGGCAGTGCCATATCATTACTGAGTGGCAGCGGCCACAACACACGAAAAGTGAGTTGTACATTAGGGAACAACCTTTTCCCAGAGTGAAGAGCAGTGCTGGAAATGTTGTGGGATCTTCATCCTTGGAAGGGCTATGGCTAACCTTATCTACTCATGGCCCTGCTCCAAGCAGGAGGTTGATCTCTGGATGCCCCTTTCAGTTAATATCTGTGATTTTTTTTTCTCTCTCTTTTCAAAAGCCACTCTGTCTTGCAACCTCCCTTTCTCACTCTGTATGGCTTCCTTGTATCTTGACTAGCAAAGGCAATTATCTTGCTCACAGATATATCTCTGGGATTTGGCAGTCTCCTGGCTTGGGCCTTCTCACCACCTAACCATTCAGTTGACTTTTCTCCCATCCAGATTTGTGGAGGACGTACTCACTATACTAAAACTAGCACTTGTTTGATTTCTGGCATTTCTTCACTGCCTTGCACAACACTGATTTTTGACATTTTTTAGAATTCTTGACCCACTGTATTCCTGTAATCAGGCTTGCAGTACAATGCTTAGCAAACAGTACAATTTCCTTCCTTTCCTGCTCCTTCCGCTGCCCTCTAGAGTCTTAGAGTTGTTACCACCTTGTTCTTCTTCCATCACTGTGTCTCTTCTGGGACTTCAAAGTAACAGCTCTTGTGCCATGTTTACCTCTGTTGTGTCTCTCTGTCTTTGCTTGAGCCCTCCCAGCAGAGCTGTTTCAATTCTTGCCCTCCTCCTTACTGTGCAGCAACTCAGGGTTTTGCAGTGTTTGTCTCAAATGATTCCCAACTATGACTGCAATGAGATTTCTTCACCACCCAGTGGGGTCTCCCTCCCTTGCCCTCCTTCACAGCTTTGTCTCTGTGTTCCTAATAATCTTCAGTCTGAAGCTGGACTCCCAGTGTCCAATTCAATCACTAAACTTGGTGTTTTATGCTGAGGTATTGCATTTGAAACTCCGGAGTCACAGAGCGGAGAATCAGACCCTCAATATCTGCTTAAATCCAGAAACCAAAACAAAGTATTGTGTAACCTTTTTAAAATTCACTTATTTAAAACAACACAGCAGTTATCTCCACAGCACCAGAAAACCTTCGGAATCAGCAACTTGCTTTGCTATCCTGTCAGTAGGCTATTGTGGTGCAACAACAGACTTGGGATTTTAATTCCATTGTCCTTTTGAAATCTCTAAATCTGAAAAGTGACCAGGTCAACAAAAAGGCCAAAACTTTGTAAGATCTTTTGGGGATGTGGTAGAAAGGAACTTTGGGTAGGTGGGCACAACCTGGATGTAGATAAAAAGGAAAGGGAGGGGCAAGCAGTACTGTGTTCCCTAATTTAAAAATTGCTTAACACACAAATGCAGAACCTGACTGAGGACAAGAGCTAAGTCTTCTCTCTCACAGGATTAAAGGTAAATATTTAAATCAATTTAAGTATATTTTATGGTGTTTTTAAATGCAATCTGTTCCATGTGTGACTGTATGGATAAATGATAATACCCCTGTGTAATAATGCATTATTCTTGCCTTGTGTTTTTCTAAATGTCAACCATTAGAGAAAATAATGCTGTAAGCCTATGGAAAACTGCTAATTTGGGGCAGAATTATTCACAAGCAGGAAAGTTTTCTTAGGGCAGCAACTGCATTACAAGTAAAATCTTCATTTTGATAAAAGAATTCTGTACTTCAGGTGAAGGCACAGCACTGCACATTATCAGGCCAGAGACTCAGAGGAGTATTCATTAGCTAAAACCAGAAATTCCCATCCTGATGCTCTCTTAGTTGTGTTCTCCAAGGAAAGAAAATCACTCTGGTACAGACATGGTCCTGAGGGCATACTGACTACCAGAAAGAATGTAGTTGTCTGGAAACAAATCACTTCATAAATATCTGCAGACTTCAGAGATTGCCCCACAATTTTTGTTGCTCCATTCCATAGATAAGACAACGAGAATAATCTAAGCATTTCTGGTTTTTTAAATGGTAAATTACATGAGGCAGCTATTACTGGGTAGATATCTTAAAGCCTACAGCAGTCATAACCTCAAGGCATCTGGCAGTTTCTGAGGGAAAAAAAAATTGCTGGAACATTCAGAAGGGGTGGTAGGTACACAGAATGAATAAACCGTGTAAGTCTAAATGGAAACAACAGCTTTGCTGTTCATGGTACTACTCAGAATAGGTCGCTGGCCAGGAAAAGCCAATGAGCCTAAAAATTATGCCTAAATCCTTTTGCAGTATCAGCTGTCAGTTCTATACAGATCCAAATGTAGTAGTGGGAAACTCAAAGAATGTACTAAAATGTGAACCAATGTACTAAAAATGCATATAATTTCCCCTGTGAATGTTGCTTTCATAAATCATTAGTTAAGAACCAAAAAGGAAAGAAATACAGAGGTTATAAATCTGCACATCTTTGGAGATCAAAGACAGAAAGAATCACAAAGAAAACTGCAGCTGTAGAGGGAAGAAACCTGAAAGAAATTGGTGTTCCTAACAGGTGGCAACCAGTATCTGTGTGGAAGATAAACATACAACTATGCTATTAGTTTTAGTGGCTTAAAGGGATTGTTTTGCACATGCAACAGCTCTCTTTAAAGTGTACTATGTACAAAAATTTAAACATTCAAAGAGTACAATTCTGTTTGTTGTGTCTTTCCAGGTTGTTAAAATGGAAGTGGTCTCCACATCAGTTGGCAACTTTACTGTTGACCTTTTCAACAAGCTGAATGAGAACAACAAGGGAAAAAACATTTTCTTCTCCCCTTGGAGCATATCAGCAGCTCTGGCTCTGACATACCTGGGAGCAAAAGGAACTACAGCAACTGAGATGGCAGAGGTAGGTTACTTTTGTACTACTATTGTGGGGAGAACCTTTTGGATTTGCACAAACCCATTCTTTCTGTTGGTAGAAACAGCTGCGGAATGGAGTTCTGCCTTGCAGCATGTAGATAAGAGCACAGTGTTGGTGGTCTGGGAGGGGTATGGTGCTACTCATGGTTATTCCATGGGATTTATTGTCACTACAGCTTCAGCAGCCCTTTGATTAGTCTCCTAAGCAGCAGATAGCACAGTGAGTTATCACAAGGAGAGAAACATGACAACCATTTGATCCCCATTTGACTTTAAGTCTCACAAGGCCCTTCATGCCTATTTCTTATCTTTGAAAACTCTGCTTGCAGGTCCTTCATTTCACCGTGGGAGCAGGAGCTGAAGCTGCTTCTTCTGTGGCCAGACCTTCTCGGGGGAGACCAAAGAGAAGAAAATTGGTATCTGTTTGAAGTGAAATTCCATTATAAAGAACCAAAATGTTCAGATAGAGTTTTAGGAGTCTAGCATTTATTGTCTGCACTCCTCTTTAAAGTACAAACCCCAGCCATACTTCACAACAGGATGATGTTCAGTTCCTTTCACTCACTCAGACTCTCAGAAGCTGAAAGGATGAGTCACTGGGATAGTCTGGAAGGTTTGTTATATGACAATTCAGTTAATCCAGTCACGAACAGAGCTCTGCAAATTTGCAGTGATGGTAAACTTAGGGAAAATAAAAAGTAAGGAAGAGGAACCTAAATCCCTCTCCTATATGCATTGCTTAGCATGTTTTGAAAGCTTGATGCAAAAATTAAATTGCTGAATGTTTGATTTCTTTTTCCAAGGATCCTGAGAACAAGCAAACTGCAGATATTCATTCTAGCTTCAAGAAGCTCCTGACTGCCATCAACAAACCCAGAGGCACCTACTCCCTGAAAAGTGCCAACCGCATTTACGTGGAAAAAACCTTCCTATTATTGCCTGTAAGTTAAATCTCAGGGAAGAGGAAGAAAAAGTGCAAAAATATTTCTCTTTTAAATTACTTGCCATTAACAGAACAGTTGGGAAGCTGACCTTGAATACTGCAAATAGGAGCTCTGGACTCCAGTGATAACCTTAACTGGAAAATACCAGTCAGTCTGCTCACAGAATTTAGGGATGCATTGCCCTTGAGTGTATTGTAGATCCCTACAACCCTTTACATGAAATGTGCCTTTAGTATTGGAACCCTCAATATATAAAACTGTAAATGAGAAATTAAATAAGCACATCCATAGGATGCATGCAGCCTTCCTCACTTCTCCAGATAAATCTTGGAACAAAAGATGTGAAATTTCTGTTCTTTGGTTATTTCTTACTTGTTAACCCACAGTCCAGCAGAAAATAACAGGCAAGATCCTGCAGTCCTCAGGTCAAAGAATCAATCAAGTATAAGAGCTAACAACTTCCTTTTGGGACTAAAAGTAGCATATTTCTCTAGCACAGATCTTTTTTGCTCACTTTTTTGTTATTTTTCAGACATACATACAGCTCAGTAAGAACTACTATGAAGCAGAGCCACAGAAGGTTAACTTTAAGACAGCACCAGAACAGACAGGAAAGGAAATCAACACTTGGGTTGAAAAACAAACTGAGGGTAAGCTGGGCTCAACCCCAACATCTTTGCTCTCCCACAAAGTCAGGCTGCCCTCTCCCTTGGGCAGGTGCCCTTGCTTCCCCAGGTGCTACTGCAGCAGCCAGGTCATGCCTTCCAATGTGGATGTGGGCAGTGAGCGGAGATATGGTGGGAGGACAGACAAAGAGCAGCACACTTCAGCAGCTCCAAACACCTGATGTAGACCTCATTGAGTTCCCTGAGGAGATTCCCAGTGACTCCACAGTGCTCTGAAGCAGCTGGTCTGCTGGCACAAACGTGCCCTGGTGTTGCACCACTGGCAGAGCAGACAGAGGGGAGAGGCACCTCTGCCTACCAGAGTGCTCCAGGGCAGGGGGGGATGCCTGCCTTGCTGTACCACCCTGCACTGGGCAGAGGGGCTCCTCCTTCTACCTGCTGTAACCAGTCAGTGAGGCTTTCTGCTTCTAGCTGCTTGCCATGAAGCTGAGACAGCTTTGGAAGGAGTAAAGCCCTGTCAGCCAGGAGGACAGGTCAGGAAACAGCTTTGGAGAGTGTAAAGAATTACACTGATTTACCTCAGGGGAGCATTTTAGGGAGCAGGGCATTGAGGCATGGACTTTCTACTAAGAAGCTGAACTGAGAGAAAAACTGATCAAAATGTCCCACTGTGCTATACTGAAATGAAACCTGACTCTTATGCTTTCAAAAGGCAAAATCAAGAATTTGCTGGGTCCACGAGATGTGACAAACTCCACCAAGCTGATCCTGATAAATGCCATTTACTTCAAGGCAGAATGGGAAGTGAAATTTAAGGCAGAAGATACAGAACTGCAACCCTTCCGACTGAGCAAGGTAAGTTCCTCCTTCTTACTGTAAACAACCTGGTCACAACATCTATTGCTGAAATCTTTCAATTTCATAAGTGTTTTAGGTAGCCCTGTGGTAACTAGATCCTGTGAAAAGCTGGTTGCAGCAAAATCTGTCAGTTCTCAGCTCACTGAAACATTAGGATGTGCTCAGGTAAATGTTAGCAAGCTCCAAGTAACAGCTAATGTTTCCAAAATCACTACAGACATTTAAAACTTTTCAGTAAAGCAGTGCTAAAATTGTCTAAATTGTAAAAACATGATTTTGAGAGTCCAGACTCCATGGATGGGAACTACATGGCATGTCATGGTTGAGTACAGCACCAGGCCTCTGCACTGTGCAACCAGGCTGGGCACAATCCTTCCTGCTCAAACACAGCTGCAACAGGGTGCCCTGAGCTGCTGCATGTCTGCATGAGGCTAGAAGCAAGGTTAATGGCATGTACCCAGGAGGGATGTTAATGAATTCACAGTTAAAGAACTTTGTACAACTTCCACAAAATCTACCTTCTTCTCTCTGGTTAGCATATACACATGTTCTGCTTCCTTGAATGAAGGGATACAGATGTTAATAGAAGTTATACACTCCTGACAAAGTGACTGTCTCCCAGGAACTCTTCTCATCATGAGCTCATTTGCTCTCACACGAGAGTTATCTTTTCTCAAGCAATCAGCTTTTTTTTCCAAGCAATTACCTTTTATCACCAGAGAGAGGAGATCACTGATAAACTGCACAACACTCATCCTCTTAAACCACAGCTGCTTTTCTGCCAGAGTGTTGTAAGGTCATATCCCACACATGCTCCATACCCCTAATCCTTGCAGACATTTCTAACTCTCTTCCTCCTTAGGCATTTCTTGGGGAGAAGAGAAAAATATCTCTTCAGCCCCCTACAAAAGCTTTGGGACAGACACCAAGATAAGCAATGTTGTTCAGTCAAGAAAAGCTTTGGAAAATGGATAATAAATCACTGTTTTAAAAGTTTATAAAATTTCCTCTCCCTGCACTGAGACATCATCACCCTTCCATTCAATGATTTCTTACTTATAAAAAAATACTTTCCAGAACAAGACCAAGCCTGTAAAGATGATGTACATGAGAAAAACATTTCCAGTCCTCATCATGGAAGCAATGAATTTCAAAATGATTGAGCTGCCATATGTGAAACGTGAACTCAGTATGTTCATCCTCCTTCCTGATGACATCAAAGACAACACTACGGGTCTCGAACAGGTACAACCATTTTGTATGCTACTCAGTCATTTAAAAAAAGTAGGGCAGGCTGACAATAATATCTCCCTATCTGAGGACATGCTATCATGCTGCTTGACCTCATCCACTAGCTGAATTAATTTTCTTTAATACTTCTTTAATCCCAAGAAAGTTCTTCCACAAGAGCACCCTTAGTTTGCCAGGAACTGAAGACAGGCAACACTTTGCATAATCAGATGCTCAGCTCTTCAGCAGCCCCCTTGACTGACACCCAATTTTACATGATCTGTAACAGCTGAATCTCCCTTCCTTGCACATTCAGGAGAGACACCAGCACATACAAAGTCATAGGTTCTTCCTGAAATTAAACCTTTTCTTGATGGCCTAGATGTTTATTTCCATATTGTTCTCACTCTTTTTCCCCCTCTCCCCTCCCACCATTTGCCTGCTCGATAAAAAACTAGAATTTTAGTGAGACTGCATTTGCTACAACAATGAGATCTGCTACTGTAGTTAATATAATTCCAAGATTGTTAAATTCTTGGAGTCTATACCATTCATTGCTTTCCTCCATTTGATCTGAGCTGAACCCTGGTGGCACAGTGCCCAGGATACAGAGTGGCAGTGAAAGACTTTGCTGGAAGCACTTTGTTTCAAAGTTGTCAAGGAAATATATGCAATAATTTTAACACCTCTTTTTATAGAACTGGACCAAACTATGTGCCACACAGCAATTTTAGTCACATCAGGACTGAATTTAAAAATAGGAAAGAACTACCATGGGGGATGGCAGCTGTTGAATGTCCTTCTTATCTCTCTTTTGCTATGAATTTGGAAAGGGCACTGCTCAAAACTTTGCAACATTAAGACTCATATACTTGTGGCACACCTTGTCTCTGATCATTAGTAAAACCAACTTCTTTCATGCTTTCAGCTAAATGTTACATTTACTATTTAACATTTTTAATTCATTACATTGTCATAAAATTTATTAATTCATAGTTAATGAATTGTTTTTCCCTGCAAAAACCAAATTCCTTCTCTTTCTTAAATGATAGCTGGAAAGAGAACTGACATATGAGAAGCTGTCCAAATGGACTGACTCCAAGAAGATGACCGAGACTCTTGTGGACCTGTACCTACCTAAATTCGAAATGGAAGAGAGGTATGACCTCAGCGATAATCTGATCAGGATGGGAATGCGCAGCGCCTTCAGCAGCAACGCTGATTTCAGTGGAATGACAGAGAAGGATAGAATGATGATCTCCAAGGTTTTCCACAAGTCTTTTGTTGCAGTTGATGAGAAGGGCACTGAGGCAGCTGCTGCTACTGCTGTCCTTGTAGAACTAACAAGTGCACATGATAGCCATGTTCTGAAATTTAGGGTTGACCACCCTTTCTACTTCTTCATCAGACACAACAAGTCCAAGAGCATCCTTTTTTTTGGTAGATTCTGCTCTCCTCTAGAATGAATAATTACTTGCTCTCAGACAGCATCCAAGGTTCACTGTTCAATGGAAAAAATGTGAACTGTGGTGCTAAAATCTCAACCTTAAGCCATGTAGCCACCTGTACTAAAGTGCTTGTTCTTTTCCTTCCAACCAACCTCCCTCAAAGAAGGCAGCAAACAGAAACTATCCTGAGCCACCAAAGAACAGTCCTATTGTCCTAATGAGACAGTCCTGAACAGAAAAGAAAGCACGGAATTTTGCTCCTTTTTATCAAATCTGCTCTTCTGGCTTTGTTGTTTAAAAGTAAGGTGGAGTCATACAAGCTCTCTGCACACAGCCCTGTGTCAAATGCTGACTACAAGGGAAATGCAATTCATTCTTTTGACTCTCGCAGAGAGGATAAAGAACCCTGAAAAGAAAAAAACCAAACTTGTAGAAATCTGTATGCTCTCTTTTTCTCTCCTTCCCTCACTGGGAAACCTGCATTTGTACTGCAATGCTATTTCATAACCTTAATTTCAAATTTCAATGACTGTTGGAATTTAACAAAATTTAATACAAATCCAGAATAATCTCAGAATGCCCCTTACCATCCCTTGTCTCACCACATGTATATAGGCACATCACATTCATTCTCTCCTGCTCTTTCAGCTTTCTGAAAAAGTAAGACTGTGAGAGAAAATTGTCCAACCCTTAATATTAAATTGCTGACTTCTAATCACATTGCATTTTTTCCCTCATTTTCCTAAATTTTTTATTTTAAGGTTGTTGAGATTTCCAACCAGCAAAAATGCTAAGCAAGCTATTAGCAACATGCCTTCTTACCACCTTTTTTATTGATATGTAATCTAAACCTGTTAGAATTTAAATCTGCTTCCTCTTTTTAATTTTACTTAGCTATACCTGTTTCCTGGTTAATACCTGCAAAGCTTCCTTGCCACCTGTAATAATGACCAATGTTTGATTTGTACCTTATGAGTGCATCTTAGCAAAGATATTTGTGGCATTGACAGAAACACCAGTGAAATTTTGATTTTGATTGATGCTTTACTTACTATTTTACCATGAGCTGCATTTAATGAAATAAATAAATAAATAAATAAACTTGAACTTGTGTTTGCGTTGTTCAAGACACTGAGTTACTTGGTTCTCTTATAGCATCCTGCAATCTGCACAGCTGGAGCATTCCATTTTTGTCATTCCAAATCAACCACCACACCACCCCAACTGACAAAGCTGAGAAACTTTAACACACTTGTGTCTTATTTTCACCAGGTTTCAAATAGGCCTCCAAACACTGTTATTCTGTGTGTCATCCAGGCATTTACAAACATACCTTTCACAACACACTAGAAATAAGGAGTCTGACCAGAGGCTATGGCCCAGAACAGCACCTTCCAAATATCCCTTTTGACCTTGTTCAAGAGTGAACAAGCAATGTGAAAAAAATGAACCTTCCACACATCCCTCTTACCCATGTGCAATAATGAACAAGTCATGCTCTACTGGCAGCATCAGTTCCCTCTGACAGCTTGGGAGGGCAGCAGTTGTGCTATCCCTGTGGCATCAGGAATAGCATAAAGTTTTGCAGCCATTGTGGCAGTCCAATTACTGCAGGAGGGAGGTACTGGAAAAGCATTTACTCTCAACAAAATTCCACCTATAATTACAACTTGTTCCACCTCCCCAGAAGGTATTCTATTTGGAACGACATCTCCCTTCAACAAACTATTTCCACATCTTCTTCCCTGTACAAAGTGCTGCTTCTAAAATCAGCGCCCTCCCTTGCCTGTAAGCCACAGCTCAGGATTTAGTTGTCTGTCCCTCAGGACTGACCCCAGTGCAGCCCAGATGTGTGCTATTGACTTGGCTTTACTGAGAAGTTTGTTCTTTATGTGTGGAAGAACACATAAGTGAAGGCTGTGAAAAATAAGAGGAGTGAAAACAGAACCTGTGAGGCTCTCTCTCACTACAGCACAGTGACTGCCAGCTGGTGAGAGATGCAAAAGGTCAAACAGGCTGGGTTGGCTACCAAGCCACTCCCAGCCTCAGCTTTCCTTGAAGAGTACACATTCCAGTGTATGACTTGGAGTACAAGTGAAATGTGTGAAAGAGAAGAAAAGGAACCCATCTAGTGCTGCAGAGCTCATCTACTGCAAGCAACACTGGAGAGGGTTCATTTGTGCCTTCCTGCATTACTGTCATGGTAACCAGCATCTGGCTCTCAGGTCAGGGTAACCCTTGCAGAAACAGAGAATTGTCAGGGTAGAAGCGGCTATTTGAGATCATCTGGTCCCACCCACTATGCAAACAGGCTTAACTGATGCTGGTTGCACAGGGCCATATGCACTGGATTTTGAATACCTGTCTCCACCAATGGATGATACACAAGCTCTCTTGGCAACCTGTGCCAGTGTTTGACCATCCTCACAAGTGACCATCTTCATCCTCTCTTATGTTCAGACTTGAAATGTTCAGACAAAACATGACCTTCATGTTTTCAGCCTGTGCCCATTGCCTCTTGTCATCTGTCATGGTTTGACACTGGCCAAACACCAGCTACCCACAAAAGTCGCTCACCCACCCTCCCCTGCCACAGCTGGGCAGAGGAGAGAAAAAAAATTGACAAAAGGTTCATGAATTGAGATAAGGACTCAATTAATGAACCTCAATGTCATGAAGGCAGAAAACATTCCAAGGGCAGTGGAGGTACAAAGTGAATTAGAGGAACGAAGTGAATTTATTACAAACCAAATCAGAGGAGGATAATAGGAAATAAAATAAGCCCTTAAACACCTTTTCTTCTCCCAACCCCTCTCTCCTTCCCATCAACAGTGCAGAAACAGGGCATGGGGATTTCTGTCGGTTCATCACCTGGGGTTTCCTTCTGCAGCACAGGGAGAGGAGTCCTTCCCTTGTGAGACCATGGGGGCCCTCCCATGGGAGACAGTTCTCCATGAACTTCTCCTGTATGGGTCCATTCTCACAAGCAGAAGTCCTCCCAAAACTGCTGTGGTGTGGGTCATTCTTTAATGAGGTGCAGTCCTCCAAGGCCAGGCTGCTCCAGCCTGGGAGCAAGGGCCCCCTCTCCCCACCCAGTCTCCCACCGGATCGCAGCCTCCTCCAGACATCCACTCACTCCAGCATGAGCACCTCCCCCACGGGCTGTGGGTGGATTTCTGCATCCCCCATGGATCCCCACGGGCTGCAGGGGCACAGCTGTTTCACCATGACCTCACCATGGCCTGCAGAGGAATCTCAGCTCCTGCACCTGGAGCGCCTCCTTCGCTCCTTCTCCACTGACCTTGGTGTCTCCATGTCGTTTTCCTCACATGTTCTCACCTCCTCCTTTTCTCTGGTTAGAAAAACACTGTGTGTTTTTATTTTCTTCTTAAATTTGTTATGATAGAGGTGTTACCAACCTTTCTCAGCTTTGGCCAGCAGCATGTCCATCTTCAGAGGATCAGGGAATGGCTCTGTTGGGCATGGTGGAAGCTGCTGGCAGCTTCTCACAGGAACCACCTCTGTGGGCCCCTTGCTACCAAAAACCAGGCCATGCAAAACTCATGGGAACCTCTGAGAAGAGCCTAATTCCTTCTTTGTTACACCCTGTAAGGCATTAGTCAAGTAACAGGTGAAACGTGACTGCATTTCCAAATAACTGTTTTCAAGAAGCCTTGGGTTTGTTTTGTATCATCAAAATTTGCAACTTCGGGTCCACAAACTCCTCTTTGAAAAGCCACAGTAACTTTGCAAAGCAAGACTCAACACAAACACAGACCGCTTGTCACAACACAGCATATTAACATGCTTTCAGTTTATCCTACAATGAAACATGGGGGTTTTGTGTTCCAGTACCAATGTCAGATTCATAAAATAATCCCTGACACCTCTGTAGTAGACAGAATTAATGAAAAGCAGAAATGGTAGACATAGGTTGCATTAATAAAGCCAAGAAAATTTACAGTGTTGGTGTACTGTTAGTATACAAGACAAGGACATATAAACCCCCACTCTAACTGCAATGCAAATGCATCCATATTTTAAAGGCTTTATTTTTTCAACAGAAACCGGCACAAGAACCCCGCTTTTCAGGTGTTATTTATAGTCCTGTCTTTGCAGTTTTATTGTAACAGATGTGACACATGGTCTCATTTTCTTCCCAAGCAACATAGCTGAATAGAATTTTTTGCATAGCAAAAATCCATAATTAGACTTAGTCTAACACTGATTTTAAATTCTGCTGCTTATTACTAGCACTAACTGCAAGTGAACTCATCTTAAACAAATGCCCAAAAGGCCCACTCAGAGTGGATAATTTACAAAGTACAGATATAGGAATATGTTAGTTAATCAGGCAGAAAGACACAACCTTCCTGCTGAGCCAGATAGGAATGAAAGATGGCTTCAAAAAAGACCAAATTTCTTCATCAGTATGACAGGGAAAAACGACTGGTTTTATCGAAAAACTTTTTTATGATCATTTGTCAAAGGTCAGTCCACTTGGAGGTCAGGCATTGTGATGCAGAGAAACCTTTTTTTTACCATTCTGTCTGCATCAATTCATGACTTGTTCTCACTGTTTACATTTGGCACTGCAAAACCAAGAGCACTTACTTGGCTAAGGTGTTTCCTTCTGTAACTCCGATGTCTCTTACCAAACAGGATCTTGCAGCAGCTGGTGCATACCACAAAGTGTGTCTACACAGTTGGAGAACCCTTTCTTCATCTTCCTGTATTTTTGGCCAATCTTTGGAGCTTGTAGTACCACTAACTGCTTGGGGGTTTTTCTTCTATGAATTTATCTAAAAAACAAGCAACAGCATATTAAGATACAAGCAGAAACATTTCTTAAGCTCATAAGTAAATACAGCAATACATTTCTGAAGCAAGAAAATAAGATGAACATGCAAGGCACAAAAACTGCACTTAAAAACAAAAGGTATGAAGAAAGCAAGGCACACATATCTCTCTAGAAACCTTGCATGGCATATGTAATAGTCAGATTTTAAGTGTACAGAAGGACTGAAATATAATCCTTGTTCAAAAGATGAACTTCATACTGATGCTTTTTCCATACAGGTTGTCAGCATGCAGGTAATTTGTTTACTCTGCATGAGCCATACTGGAGGGCAGAGGCTGTTCTTTACCAAGGTTGAATGTAGCAGAAAAGACAGATCACGATCACAATTGAAATTCATCAATACAATTTAATCTGAGTTACAAAGATTAAGATCAGAATTACACTGGTTTAAAGTAAAACATTTGATTACATCTTACATTACATCTTTGCTGATATCCAGTTTTACACATTCTCCTGTTTTTGATCCCTGCTCTTATATGACAGTTTCAGTAAAAGGAATCATTACAAGCAGAGCTTCCAAGTAGCTTTTCAGCTTTTGGTGGATGATTCAAACTCCCTAAGTCCACCACAGAGGGATAAAAAGCTCAGTACAATGCAGGGCCTGTAGGTATTTAAAGCACCTTCACTGACTTTGCTAGGACCAGAAGTCTTTCAAAACAACATCTACCAGTTCAAACGAGCCCAGAACTCACTCTTATTTCATCACTTATTTTAGGTGACTGCATAAATACCATCTGAACTTCCTTTGCAATGCGTTTTCTTAAAAAAAAAAAAAAAGCAAAATATCCTCGTACAAAATATACAAAATAAGGGAAAATAAGGGCTTTATGTGACCTGAGGTCTACAAGTATTTAGATGCTTCCCCTCAAATTTTAAGAGGATCAATGACATTAACAGTCTATTTCAATATTTCCTTTTAGCCATAGCTTTGAGATCAGTTAATATTAATTTCTCCTGCTGGTAGAGTATAGAGAAAAGGAAGCTGTAAAATCATTTCACCATATCTGTTGGCAATGCAGAGTGGTTGAATTATTTGAATTATTTTCTGCAATTCCTACTTTTTTTTGCAGGCCAAACTCCAAGGTTGTGGAGGACACCTGAAGGGAACTGGAATGCTGGCCTTCATGTTCCAGGATATACATGTACTAGCAGTGACCTTGAGTTGAGGAGGTCTCTAAGTTCTGAAAGCAAGTGATAGAGAGGAGAACTAGGAATAAATGAGGGAACGTGCGCATTTAATACCAGAAGAGGATGTAGATAGAAAAGGGAGGTGCAAATATTTCTACACTTCCAAAAGGACTCATTGCCCCACAGACCACCACAGACCCTGATGAAGACAGATCTTAACTCTTTTCTCTCAGGATTTCAGGTAATTAGACATTCCTATCAAAATAACTAGCTTTTATTTGGAAGTCTTAAAAATTCACTTTAAATTCTTTGGAACTGCGTAGTTAAATGATGGCACAAAATTCATTTAGGGGGAGGGAGTGTTTATTTTTTCACTATGAAGAGTAGCCCTTAGGAAAGCTCTCTGCTGAGGCAGAGTGGGCAGAATGCAAATCAGGGTTGGGCAAAACCTTCAGAGCCTGGGGAGGGCAGAAAATTTCCTGACCTGTAGGAAGGGTGCCTTAATCACCAGGGAGAACCAGCATCTCCAGGAACAGCAGTAGGATATGTGAAGGACCTAAAAATGCTTATGTGTGAGCTAGGCTGCATGGCATTCCCCTCTGAAGCACTCCTGGGAATGCTTCAAAGCTGTTGTAGAGCTCTAAGGAAGCTTTACAAACAGAACCTGAGGACCTCGGAGACTCCAGGCATCTCAGACACTTCATGGAAGCAGCCTGCTTTGAAGACTGCAGGTTTTGATTTAACCACACAAGTTGTGGGTGAATATGGATTTAAATGCCCAGCTGCTCTTGTTGATCTAATGCTTAAATTTTACTTGATGCCATCTTACACTGACTTCACCAAATGTTTTATTAGTTTTTATTCTGATGAAGACAACGGAAACATCTGAGTTTATCCCAATATTTATCAAAGTATTAGATGGATCAAAAAATGCTAATAGGATGCACAGGTTTATTCCAGAACCGTGCATGAAAAATCAATTTAATCCTGGGGTTGTGGTTATTTGTTTTCTTTGGTTTTGTCCTGCAAAAACATAGCTAAGAAAAGAAGCAGAAGAGGGATAGAAAATATGCTGGATAAACCAGCAGGAAACCAAAGAAAATTTGTTGTTGGTTAAAAGAGGAACTATTTGGGGTTGCATGTAAGATAAAAGAATTTTCTTGAAAAACATAAATTAGCAAATCCAGACACAGCTTCCAAATATGGGTTTATCTACACCAAGAACATAAAATAATCTGTATCTCTCTAGTAGCCTTCAGGATATATCTGTAGTGAATCACCTGAATTCAGCTTTTTTTCAGCAGAAAATAACTGAACAGGAAGTTTAAACAAATAGAAAAAAAGCCCAAAGTAGCACAGTGAGAAATTATTCTTTTTCAGTCTCTCAGAATCAAATAATAACTCTATGAAAATAAGGGAAAGAGCAAATAAGTTTTTGAAACAAGTCTAAACTCTGATAACATTTCTAGCTTAAATTGCATTCAACTGATGAAAACCAAACAAATCTGGCAAAGACACTGAAAGCGATGAGGAAGGAAAAAATAGTACAGGTCTTAGAAAGAAACCTGCTAGCTGACTGTACTTGGTCTCTGTGCAGTATTTTACCCAGGGATACCTTCACACTGTTTTTGAGAGGTGCAGGCAGTCTCCCACTTGACTGCTTTGTATTTTTTAAAATACTGGCAAATGCAATACTGGCAGCTTTGTATTTTTTAAAACAAATGAAGGAGCAGTCACCACCCCTCTCTGACACTTGTTTGTCTCAGGTGTACCAATGGAATCTCTCTCAGTGTCAACCAACAGCTTCACTCTGGACCTTTACAAAAAGCTGAATGAAACTTCCAAAGGCCAAAACATTTTCTTTTCTCCTTGGAGTATTGCAACTGCTCTTGCCATGGTCCACCTGGGTGCAAAAGGTGACACTGCAAGCCAGATGGCTGAGGTAAGCTCTGAAATTAGCCATGTACCACCTTCAGCGGGTTCCTACATAAACTGCACTGTTATTCTGCCTATAGAGAACAGCAAGGAACAACATGGGAGGACCAGGATCTGCAATGCTGACAGCATGAGTAGGGATATTTTCTGTACCAACATTATGGAAGCTCACTTCCACTTTATTTCCATGATCTCTGCTCTGCACCTACCCTACATTTAGCTTACACTTACAGTTCACAGAGCATTGCAAGTGATCTGCCAAGGAGCAGTTATTGACATTCAGAGGCTACTCTTGGTCTTGCTCGGAGCTCTCTGTTCCATTTTAACTGCTTTATGAACAGAATAATTAAACTAACATAGTGCCCAAAAAGTAATGAGGACACACCTTTATTAAAAAAAATTATATGGCACTATGATATGCTAGAGAAAGGAAATGTGGAGATAATCTCTTGTGCAAAATATCACTGCTTCTAGATCTCAGCTGGTTCTGGCAGGAGTATATCTGCTTTCTCATACTGCAGACAGTAAAGCAAACTCGCCTGAACATGTGTTTGGCTGCACAGGAGAGGCAGAAATTTTTGCTTGTGACATAGTTAGTGCATAAATATAGTAATTCTTCAATGAATAATGGAGATTTGTGAGCAATGAAAATATCAGAGAGCCATAGAATATACTGAGTTGTAAATCACCCACGAGGATCATTGAGTTCAACTCGTGGCCCTGCACAGGAGTCACACCATGTGCCTGAGAGTGTTGACCAAACACTTCTTGAACTCTGCCAGGTTTGGTGCTGTGGCGACCTCCCTGGGGAGCCTGTTCCAGTCACAACACTGATCCATTATTAAGGAGTCCATGTGGCCAAAATCTATCTAGTAATGATACAGTTACAGAGATTTAATCAATGCCCTCAATTACACATAATTGTCCTCTATAACTTCAACAGACTATCATTGGGCATGGCTGGTGGATTACCATAGAAAACAAAGATATTTACAACCTTTGGGCATGTTAATCTCAAACAAGCTGCCTTTATGAACATTTATCATCATCATCACAGGTTCTTCATTTTAACCAGACTGCAAGAGAAGAAGGTTCATCTGAGACAACAAGGCCTTCTCCTGCAAGACCAAAGAAAAGAAAGATGGTATTTATTGCAACAAAATATTCTGAGATAAAAATCTCTGAGAATGGGATAAGTCCAATGCAACCACTGCTTTTAGGCTTTTAACATCTGCTTGTTTTCAGTCTATTATTTACTGTCTCGGTTCAGTAAGAACTACATACAGAAAAAGTGAACAAGGAAGTAATATGGTGGTAAAACTTATTAATTCAGTCTTTCAAAAGCAGAACTGAAACACTAACAGCATTTTGATTGGCCATAATACTGTCTCACTTGGTGTTAGCTGGGCTGTAGAAATGTCAAAAAAACATTGGTCCTAATATGCTTTGGACAATTCCATTTCTTATCCCCTTCAGGTTGGTTGGGATATTTTTTCTGCAGTGATAAACAACCACTGCCTTCTCATCTGTCTCCAGCCCTACCCAATAAAGTCCCTTCCTCCTTTTGTATGCACAGACACATCAGGCAGACAAAATTCCCCTTTAAGGTAATGTCTGTTGACTCACCCTTCCTCATCAGCTCCCCAGAGACTTGCCAGCAGGAGAAATGGCCCAGATCTTTTTCAACAAATTAACTCCCTAATCAATGAAATGCATTAAACTCAATCAAGCCATAGTTTTTTCAGCATAGAAACTAAAAGAAAGCTGAAAAAAATTAAATTAGATTAACTTCAAATAAAAAGGGCAAGGGGATTATATCATTCTCTCCCTTAATGGTGTGAGATGGTTCTTCAAGATTAATCACTGCACTCACATTCATTTTAGCAACTCACTGACTTCATAAATTGTACCAAAGTCTGTCTAATCTTTTTCTTCAGATATTTCCCCCTATTGCCTCTTTGTTCTGTTCCCATCCCATTGAAAAAAAAAAAACCAGCCTCTGCTATCCTGTGTCCTCTAGCTACTAAATTCTTTCCCAGGTGTGCTTCCTGGCAGCCCACATCTCAGCATGAGTGAGAAAAGACCACAGCAAGGAATGACAGACAAGTCACCCTGAGTCAGTGGCAGAGACTCTCAGTGTCTCATGTGCAGGGCACCATACAGGACTTGGGAGGGGACACTGCATCCAGGCAGCTGGTGGGGAGCAGCTGGCAGGTAGCAGCTCATTCCTCCATTTGCAAAGCAACAGCTGGAAACAGCTGGCAAGCAACCTCATCCTCCCTAAAACCACCAACACTGACATCCAGAACAAGCTCTCTCCAAAATCCAAATAGCAACAGAAAACACCCATGTGAAACAGGAAAATTTGAATAGTTGGCAAGTCCATGCCCTGACATTAGTTTCTGTGTCGGTAGAACACCTTCTCAAAGGCTGCCAAGCTGCATTGATGGATCTTTGTGAAACTGAAAATCAGGCCTGAAAATGACAAACATGAGGAGATTCAGCCTCCTTGGTGTACCATCATATAATGTCCCCAAATGCCTACAAAGCACTGCAGAAATAAATCATTGCCCTGCAGGTAGAATCCCATTTATCTAGCTATACACAGTGCTGCAAACATACTACATTCTCAAAAAAGTTTCATTCCCTGAAACTCCTTTTTAATTAAAAGAACATGAACAATTTAAATAAAGCAGGTGCATCAGACAAAAAAAAAATTAAAAACCCATATCAATTGGTGTCTCTTTCCAAGGATCCTGAGCATGAGGGAGCAGAAAACATCCATTCTGGCTTCAAAAAGCTCCTGTCTGACATCAACAAACGTAAAAGCACTTACTTGCTGAAGAGTGCCAACCGACTGTACGAGGAAAAGACCTACCCATTACTGCCTGTGAGTTGAACATCTTTATATGGGAATATGCTGACATTAAGAGTAATTATCAATAGAGATGATGAAAAAATCGAAATTATAACACTGGGCATGAGGACAGCCACAGAGGGCTAGTCTTGGACAGGCAAGCAGTCCACCTGTTTTCAGCAGTGGGCAATAGTTTGGCAAGTGCATGAGAAAACTCTGTAGTGATTCTTCTCCAGAATCTGCTGTGGCCACCACCTGATCTGCAGCTCAGGGACTTCTTGAGCCAGAGGGCATGTCTACTTCAGTGACCCTGATGAGCTGTTGTTTCAGGATTTTGCACACTTGTCTTTTGAATCTATTTCAGCCCTCAGCACCAGGATTTCCACAGCTAGGCTAAACACTGCAGGAAGCCCCTGTGCTTTCTGAGCTTGCTGCCTGTTGGCATCGCTGTTGGTTCATCTCTATTCTGAAGGACATTTCTCCACATCTCTGGTCACCCTCATCCCCAATGTCTGTATTTTTTATACTGTAGCATTTCTGAGACTGGGGAGGCTACGGCTGCATTGCAAACTCAGACAGCAGACACACTATAGTATTATCAAGGGCCATTATAGAAATTTCTCTTTTGTTGTCTACTCTTTCCTTCATAGTTCCTAAATTTTCATTTGCATCTTTGCCCATGATTAGGCAGTTTTTTTTCATGCACCTGTCCATTACAGCTTCAATATCTCATTCCTAAACCATAACAATCACTTCCTGTATCTTACACTTTACTGGATCACCTATAAATATGTTATTATATGTATTTTAATGTAAACATCTAAACTTTGGTTTTATAGAAAAAAATACTGTAACACAGATGCCAGTACACATATCCTTGTGGCACTCCAGCAGTAATAACCCTTCATTGTGAATGGTTTTTCCTCCTACTCTTGGTTTCTAGTCTTTTAAACAAATAAGACGTATCTCTGTAGTCCAATGGATGCTCAGCCTTTGGTGACAAGCCCTACAAAATGCATTTTGGTAATCCAAAAAGACTGTAACAGCTCAGTCCTTTTACCTATATGCTCCCTAACACCTTCAGAAAAGTCCAACATATCTGTGATTTTTGATTTCCTATTACAAAATGTTGTTGACACGTCTCCAATAAGTCACATGAACGCATACACCCACTACGCCTATTCTACTCATTTGCCCCACACCGACTCATGAGTTTGTAATTATCTTTATCTCTGAAATCTTTTCCAGACTGATGTTGTATTAATCATCTTCCAGGTCCCTGGAAAGGGGTTTTAAATGAGATTACTGTTCTTTGATTTTGGCGTTTGTTTGGTTTCCTGAGTAATCAGCAATTTGTCTTTCTGAATGTGTATTGCTCATTTTCTCCATAATCTCATGTGCATTTGCTTTACAGGGAATCAAGGGAATTTCCTGCTGGGAATCTCCATTAATGATTTCACAGCAGACAGCAATGGAGACATTAATTCTGCTTTTCTGTCATGACTTTATTCTACCAAAACATTCCTTTTATTGTCCTCATAAATTTTTGGCAGGTTCCCCATCTTTGAAGCAAAATAAAAGCGTTTGTTTAACTTTATATGAGACTATTCTTCCATCTTGTAGTGAACACTACTTCATAAATCAGGGGAAAAAAAGTATTTAAATTATATTAAAATGTCATTTTGAGAAATTAAAAAAAAAAAAGTAAAGGTTTCATGGATATTTCAAAACTAAAAATTTCCACCTTTGATTTCAAACACAAAAATTTGAAGTATCAGTTTCCTTGAGACTGAAGTTTGATCAGTCCTTACTTAATATTTAGAATAGAATGTATCAGGCCTTATTATAAAGGTTACTGCAGGTAAACCAAGTTTTCTTAAATTATGTATTAGCATTATGTATAATCTGTTAAACTGATTGTAACTAATATTTTTATAACTCAAGTTTAACTAAATAACCACACATTCTTTAATCCTATCTTTCAGAAGTTCTTACAACTCCTTACAAGCTATTACAATGCAAAGCCACAAGCTGTAAACTTTAAGAGAGCTGCAGAACAAGTCAGAGCACAGATCAATTCATGGGTAGAAAATAAAACTGAGAGTAAGTATCACTCTGATGGCTTTTTTTTTTCCTTGTCTAACTTTCAAATGTTTTGTATTTTATACTTTCCACATTTATTGCTCTTGCAGCCAAGAATCCATAGAAGGTGGAAACTCAGGGCAGGGAGGTGATGAGCAAAGTACATCTGAATAGTCTGAAGAATGTCTCTCTCCAGCCTAACTGCTGCTCCTTACAAGGTCCTTCCCTGAATTCTTTATGCTGTAGCCTCCTCTGAATCATTGTTCAAAAGCATGCACAGGTACATACTGTGTGGCTACACAATGATTAGTGAGGGTTGTACTTCTGCATTCTTCAGCTGCTTGCAACCAACTTCACAGAACATCCAAGCTATTCTGCTTTACCCACTTCCAAATGCCATTTACTTCCAAAACTCCAACAAATATAATAAAAAAAAATATCCCAGAGAATTCATAGAATGGTTTAGGTTGGTAGGGACCTTAAGGATCATCTCATTCCAACCCCCCTGCCATGGACAGGGACATCTTCCACTAGACCCGGTTGCTCAAAGTCCCATCCAACCTGGCCTTGAACACTTCCAGGGATGAGGCAGCCACAACTTCTCTGGACAAAGGATACAGAGATACTTCAAAAGATCATTTTTAGCATATGTACAAGATAAATACATATAAAAAATCCTCCCAAATGCAAACATTTTTGAAAGAGAGGTAGGTACAGACAAGGAACAATTAAAATTGGCAAGTTGTGCAGTCACACTGGAATAACAGTCTCTTTGTCCAATTTTGAAGGAAAAATACAGAGTCTGCTGCCTGCAGGATCACTCCATTCTCGCACTGTGCTGGTCTTAGTAAATGCCATTTATTTCAAAGGAAAGTGGGAGAAGAAATTTCTGGAGAAAAATACTTCTGAGATGCCCTTCAGAATAAGCAAGGTAAATTCCTTGTCGATATGCCTGTTGTCCTATGTCAATATATCTATCACTGAGGAGAAAATACTTCCCCTGTATTTCATATGCCACTGCAACATTACATATAGCTGACAAAGTGCTATAAATTCAGGGAGAATACCAACTGTGAAAAGAACTCAGTGTTGTCTTGTTTATGCATATCCATGAAAACCGGATTTTCAATTTATAACTCCTCAGTATCAAAACACTTGGGAACAGTTAAAGTTAATTTTTTTAAAAAGTAAGCTAAGCAAAGTAAGTTAAGAAAAGTAGCTTGAGGACAAGAAGAAATTTCTCTAAGTGCCATTTCCAAACGGAAGCAGGTTGCTTTGGAGAGCAATGTTTGCACACCTAGGGCTCACTTCTGCTCTTGGGACTCTGAGATCATGGGATCTAATCCAGCTGTTCTTCCCACACATGCCCTAGGTATTGCACCAAACCTCACAGGGAATTTTCATGGTGTTTGTCATTTTAGCTGAGTGTGTGAGGGTGATCTATTCAGATGATCTATTCATTGAGCTAACAGTTTTTAAATGATCATGCACTGACAATTCCCAGTAGCTGACTGCACACATATTTTTGGACTGTGTCAAAAGCAAGCAAAACTATTTGTCAATGGAAACAAAAATTTTGTTTGACATAGATTAAGGGTGCAAATACCTTTTGTATGCCAGGCAGTGTGAAACAATTGATGTGACTGTGTACTTGAAACCTACTACACTACGTGTGCAGTTTTAGGATCTGTCACAGCAGATGGTTGTGGTGGGTGACCTTGGCCAGCTACCAGATGCCCACTGAGACTCCCTATCACTGCCCCTTGTCAACAGGATAGGGGGAAAAAAATAGGATGAAAAGGTCATGCATGGGTCAGGGAAAGAACAGGGAGAGAATTTACCAATTACCATAACAGGCAGGAACAAGTTCAACTTCAAGAAATTAATTTGCTGCCAATTCTCAAAGTAAGTTAGTGAAGTAAACCAAGCATAAAGTGCCTCCCCCACCCACCCTTCCTCCCAGGCTCAGCTTTACTTACAACTCACCTGGGCCCCAAAGCAGTGCAGGAGACTGGGAACGGGCTAATGTTATAGTCAGTTCATTGTACATTGCCTCCACAGCTCCTTCCTCCTCATACTTTTCCTCTGCTCAAGTGTGGGGTCCTGTTGTTATTGCAAAAGTCCTATACCTTCTCAGTGATTGCTCATGGGCAGCTCCTTGCAGCACTGAGTCCTTCTTCTTCACAGCACAGCGAACAAACTCCAACTCCCTCCTCACCCAGCTACCCCACTCTTCTGTAGCACTCATCATTATTGGACACAGCTGTGGCCTGCTAAGGGCAGGCCTGTTCCTAATCTTTGGTGATTAGTACAGCTGCAACTCCTCAGGTATGAGACTACCCTCTGCACTATCTTTATTTTCTTACATTCTATCCCCCCACAGGGTCCTATCTTTTCAAAGTCCTTCACATTCAATGTAGGTCCTTCCCATGGTCTGCAGTTTTGCAAGAACTGCTCCAGTGTGAGTCCACTGCAGAGTCAAAAGTGATGCCAGAAAAGGGCTGCTCTCCACAGCATGATGGGTCCTGCCAGGAGCTTGCTCCAGCATGGGATCTCCAGGGGTTGCAGGGTGGATATTTGCACCACCATTGTCTTCGCCATGGGCTGCAGGGGAATCTCAGCTCCAGAGCCTGGAACACCTTCTCCCCCTCCTTCCTCACTGACCTAGGGGTCTTCAGGGCAGTTTCTCCCACATCATCTCTCTCAGCTCTCCCAGCTGCTTTTGTGCAGCAGATTTTAGCCTTTCTTTAACGTGTAATCACAGAGGCACTACCAATGTCACTGACTGGCTCAGATTTGGACAGTAGCAGGTGGGTCCTGGAGCCAGCTGAAACTGGCTCTGCCTGACAGAGGCATCTTCTGAGGTCTCTTCACAGAAGCTTCCCCACTACCATGCAAACCGAATATATCTGTGCCAGAAAGGGTTTAATTCACAGGGTGAGTACCAAGGCCTGCAGAGTGTTACTTAATTATCAAAGCCTAATCTTTATTTTAAATTTAGAAATTCGTTACATGGGATTCAATTAATAGGTATTTAGCTTGTATGGTTATACTAATTTTTATAAAGATCTCAAAGACTTTGAAAAGAGGGTGTATGGGACCCTGTCCAAAGAAAAGGGTTCTGGTATTCAGATGCTGCTGAATCTTGTACTTGTTTTCAGTTCAAAGAAGCAAGTAATTTTTATCATCCTTTTAATGTGTAAGTAATTGTTATATCTGATTTTTTTCCAGACCAAGACTAAACCTGTACACATGATGTTTTTGAAAGATAAATTTTCCATACTCCATGAAACCACCATGAAATTCAGAATCATTGAGCTGCCATATGTGGAAAATGAACTCAGCATGTTCCTTCTCCTTCCAGATGACATCAATGATAACACTACTGGCCTGGAGCTGGTAAAGCTGACCTACTGTTGCATCATATACACTATGAAACAGTAACAGAAACAGATGAAAAGAGTGAGGAAGAACAAGCTACAAAATCACAGTAGAATAGTTCTGATGTGTTTGTTTCAGAAACTGTAACACCATAATTTTCAGCTTAGAATTCAGGACATGCGGTAACTTTGCAAACATAGTACATCTAAAACCTATGTCCACACAACAGTCTTAGACTATTTTGTATCCTCTTTCCTATCACCAGTATAGCATAAAGAAAGCAAGGATCACCTCTGAATCATCATGCCCTAGAGTTATCTTCTCCTGAGGCCTGTATTAATGAATTTTTATGTTATTTTCAGTCTGGATTTCCAGCTGATGGTTTGTGGTGGGGTTTCTCAAACTAAGTGCTGACTACCCTGACCCAGAAGGTGCCCACGGCAATTCATGACTACACCAGGATCAGTTTCAGATTCTAAACAGAGCAGGGCAAATACTTTTATTTGTACCTCAGTTCCCATGTATCCCATTTATTTATCACTACTAAGAGAAAATATATCCATATACACACACATCAAGCACCAATTATTATTGTTATAAGTAATACATTGAAAAAAAGCAATGTTCTTCACACCAGAGGAAAAAATTATAAACTACTCTGAGGCCTCCCCTTTAAGAAAATAAACAGGAGTATAAGTCACTCAGCACTTCGTCAGATCATGCCCTCTAAATATGATGCACATTCCATCTGTAGTCACTGCTGGTAGCTGGGTCTTGCTTTACATGTTCTCGATGAGCAATAAGACACTGGTCTGTGCATGTCTTATCTCTGTCCTTCACATTCGAATTGCTTTCTTCCTCAACTCATTGCAGGTGGAAAGAGAGCTGACATATGAGAAACTGTCTGAATGGACCAAATCAGACAATATGATGAAAGCTGAAGTGGATCTATACCTGCCCAAGTTGAAGCTGGAAGAAAATTATGACCTTAAATCCCCTCTGAGCAGCATGGGGATACGAAATGCTTTTAACCCAGGTCAGGCTGATTTCACAGGAATGTCAGTGAAGAAGGATCTTTTCATCTCAGAAGTTATTCACAAAGCTTTTGTGGAGGTCAATGAAGAAGGTACGGAGGCAGCAGCTGCCACAGGTGTCTTGATGATGAGATCAAGAATCCCAACAATGACTTTCAAAGCGGACCACCCTTTTATCTTCTTTATCAGACACAACAAATCACAAACCATCCTCTTCTTTGGCAGGTTTTGCTCACCCTAGTCGGTGAGTCCTTGCCCTGCAGAGCAGGAGATGCTTGCTTGCTAGCACAGAGGCAAACCCCAAACCTGAGGCTCTCTGCAACCAGGGGAGCAGGACTTGAACCGCTTCCCCATTAGATCACACACTCTGGTGCCTGAGGCACAGCTTCTCCAATGTCTCCTTCCTAAGCTGAAGGGACAACCACGGCAGTGCCATGGATTGGCAGATGCCCCCAGAGCAATCCTGGCCATCATTTGGATCAGGCCATCATGGGTAGCTCTGTCCTTATCACTTTATACCACCATGGCATTTCTATCTCTCCCACCCATAGCACTGTATAAATATATCTCAATATATCTCTCACACTCACTGCACAAATATATTTTGCCAGAGTCTTTCTCCTTACCCTAATTATGAGGGCCACTTATCCTGATGTGGTCCTAGTATGTACCCCCAGCCTGCAGCAATCAGACCCAGCTCCTGCTTTTTAGCCCTAGACTAAGCCCTGGAGTTAACATTGGAGGCAGATCCTCCCAACCTTCACCCTGTGGCCATCCCCTTGCTTTCCTTCCACATCTCAGCTGCAAGTCTTCATCAGCCCCCAATAACCCTGTATTGCTCCACCGATTCCTTGTAATAAAATAAAATAAAAAAAAAATTTAAAAAATTACACTTCTCTTAGGGCTATTTGCCTCACTCAAACCCTCAGGAATGCGAGGAAGGGTTAAACCCGCACGGTGTCTGGCTACAGATCAATTTGGCTGAAAGCGATCGCAGCTTCAGGAATGAGTAATTACTCAGTAAGCGCCTCATGGACCGGGGGTGCTTTCTGTCAGCTCTGCCACGAGAGGGAGGCAGAGGTGGACAAACACGGGCCGTGGCCGGCGGAGCTCAAAGGGGAGGGGAGAGGCGGCTGCCGGGACACCCTGAGGCGGGGGCCGCCATTTTTCGGGGAGGGGCTGCGGCGCCTCCTGTTCCCGGCGCCCAAGGGTGAAGCGCCTCAGCCTCTGGCTAAATCCCGGGAGGGGCCAGGCTCCCGTCCCTTCCCTCTGCTCGGCTGCGCTTCCGGGAACAGGGAAGGCGGCGGCCGGCGGGGTGAGTGCGGCGGCCGCGTTGCTGCTGCGTTGTCCTGAAGGTTCTCTACGGGGAAGCCTGTGCCTGTGTTTTTTAGGGTTTTCTTGTTTGGCGGGTTTTTTAGGAAGTTGAGCTGAATGGCGTTGCTTTTACTGTGTTTTCTATTTTGTTTCTTTTTCTTCCCTCTTTCATGATATTCCCAAAATTCAGCTGCTTAGTGCCAGCTGGAGCCGCGGCAGTGCGCCTGGAGCGCTTCGTGTGGGAGCGCCGGGAGCACCGCGGGGTTGAGGCGCCTCCCGCGGGGCCAAGCCCGGGGCGGGGGCGGAAGAGGAACTCGTCGCTCCAGGGAGAGCCAAACCTTTGGCTTTTTGTGCCTCAGCTTGCTGGGACAGTGCCAGGCTCCTCCCTGCCCCTCCCCGCCCCTGCAGAGGCACGGGGGTCAGGAACCCGGCGCTAGCGGGGTCATGTCGTTCCCTGCGTCGCAGGGAGAGCTGCGATGCCAAGGCCCTGCAGGTGTTTCAACATCGCTCCCAACTCTCCAAATCCTAAATGAAGCTTTATCCCATAAGGAAGCCTGCTTTGGTTCAGTGCATGGGAAAAAGGGGTGTCTGTGGCACGGACAGGGCTTTGTCCGTGGAGATGGACGTGGCCTGGTGCTCATTGCCCCGAGTTCCCTCTGGAGTTGAAAGAGTCAGGTGGAGACTCCTCTGATGTAGCTGACTCGCCGTGGGGAAGTGTCCTTGTTTGCCGGACATTGATCCACATCGTAGTTTTTGTGGGAAGTGTCTCTGGGGTTGCGGGCTGGAGGAGAGCTGCAGCCTGCTGTGGTTTCCCCATGGCGAGGCCCTGCAGTGGTTGTCTACTAATTGATTTACATACAGCCTTTCGGTCCATAAAGACTGTCCTGAAGCATAGGTGTTGACTGCTGAGAATATACGCTTCATATTCAGTGTTAGGAACACAAAACCTCCGCACAAGTGTCTCAGTGCTGACCCGCAGAGCATGGGGAGAGGCAGAGTAAGGAATGAGTTGCTGTCAGCAAACCCTTTTAGCACTGCGTGCTCTGCAGCAGTTTACAAGTGACTGACAAATATGTACCTGTATCATGACGAATATGTATTTGTAGCATGAGGTTTTTTTGCTCCTTAAAGTGCAGTCATTGTGTATTGTCTCTGAAACTGTGGATTCCAAATTGTGCATTGTCTCAGATGAGAAGGGTGACTGTAGTTATGTTGCTACTCCTGAGCTGAAGAGAAAGCATAGTTGACTGTGCAGATGTAACTCCTAGCATTGTGTCCAAGCTGTTGAATGTTATTTATTATATTTATGAATATTATTTATTATTTAAATGCCCCTGATTTTCAGGCAGGCAAATGGTGTCAGTTGCATCCTTTTGTCTGTAAATTCTTACCTTTTGTGGAAGTCCTACAGACACTTTCTAGAAAATAGAAATTGAAATGTAAATTTCTGCCTCTTGGTGTCACTATTCCTTTGTGTTTTGACCCGGAGGTTAAAAAAACCGTATTGCTAGCAATCTGCAGATACTGAGATAGTAGGAAAATTCTGGTCTACATTGTAACCAATGTGAATGCTATGTGTCTCTTCTTTATTCTGTGCAGTGCATAAATTACCCATTCAGACACAATTGGAGGATTGTTTCCATCTAAGCATGCTTGTTTTTTGGTTGTACTCTTTTCAAGTTATGGGAGAAGAGAAATGGGATTAATTTTCTACTGTTTATAGTAAAGCTGCTAGCAAGGAATTTTCTTGGTTTGAAAAGCATGCATGTGTAAACTTGCTCTTTTCAACTCTCTAAGATGATGAATCAGCAGTATGAATTGGGTGGTGGTTTTGTATATGGTAGCAACATGTCAACACTAGGCCCTGCCTAATGAGAAAAAGAAAAGAGAGATAGTAAAACCTATCAGCATTTATCTTATGATGATTTATGATACTTATCTGTGGTTAACTCAGTGTTCTAGTACCTGTTGCTCATTTAATAGGTGTGGTGTTTAATCTCAGATTCACTGCCTATAGCAGATGAATAGAGTATGACAGTTTATGATTGCGTGCGTTGCCATGTTGCAGGCAATAAAATGGAACTAAAATGAACTTTGATTTTTTTTTTCTTTGTAATACAGCAGGAAATTGCAGTTACCTGTCATGCTGGCAACATAAATTTTTTTCTTTCCTCCTTTTATCTAGCAGGCCAAGTCATTCTGCTGATTTCTCCAAGCCTGGCTGGCAGGTTTAAAACCCAGCGTGCATACCCAGGAGCAAGCTGCAGGTACCACTGAAGGTCTGTAGGCTTAGAGAAGGTAAGAGTTGGTAATTCTGCTGGTCTGATGTCGAACTTTGCCTCTGGTGGTCCAATGAAGGGGAATTATTTTCTGTGTGAAGTCAAGAGAAAGTTCTTTCAGGAGGTCCTGAACAAAAAGACGTTGTGCCTGATCACCTCAAAAGAAGTCACACTGAGTAGTTAAGGGATGGAAATTTAGGAGTAGCCTCTAAATTAGTAAAATAATTCAAATCTGTAGTATGGATTTTCAGGTGCTTGTGGCACCAAATCAGTCTCCAGTGAGCTGATAATTTTCCAGCCTTTGCTGCCTAGTTTATGTTGGGAAGTGTAGAAGGTATACAAATAACAAATAACTGATTTGTATTCAAATAAATTTGATCATTGTTGTTCTGTGTTTGATGTCCCAGGCTTGGAAGCATGGAAAGCCTCTGTGCAGCAAACAGCACTTTTGCTGTGGACCTGTTAAGAAAGCTGTGTGAGATGAAAAGTGGGCAGAATGTGTTCTTTTCACCATTTAGTATTTCTTCTGCTTTGTCTATGGTTTTGCTGGGTTCAAGAGGTAGCACTGAAGCACAAATAAGTAAGGTAAGTCAAAATACACTTGGTGGATTGCGTTTCATGGGATCATATGAGGAAGAGATGTGTCTTCTAGTCTGTGACATGCACTCGTGCTAAACTGTGATTGTCACTGTGGTCTGAGAGAGCAGAGCTCTTCCTCTGGTGTTTGTATAAGGACAATCAATTTTCATTGATTTTGAAAGGGGACATTCCTTCATTATGAAATAAGAGTTTCCTGGGTTTTGTTGTGTGGGGATTTTGTGGTTTTTTTGAGACACATCATCTTTAATCTGTAATTCAGAGTTATGTGTTTTTCTTTTTTTTTTTTATTTAGCTTGATCAATTTACAGCTCCATAAAATATTATGTTCTGCTTCTTTCTTTGGGCTTAATATCAGACAACTTATGTTTTCAAAACATAGCCAGACACATACAAATAAAATTCACAGTGCCTGAATGTCAAACTGTAAGCATGGCTTACCCTTTTTTGACTTAAACTTGCTTAGGTAGCAGATAGTATTTGTCATGTGTTTTACATATGAACTGACAAAGTTAAGTGCAGAATCAGTCTTTTGGTTCTGTTATTGGACTCTTTTGCAAAGTGAGAGATGAGTAAAAACCTGTACTTTTAAAAAATATTTACTATTAATAAAAGTTTCTCAAAAACTTTTGTTGCCATAGTTGGAAATACTCAAAATCCATCTGGACACAGTCCTGGACTATGGGCAGTGGATGTCCCAGCTTGGGCAGGGCTTTGTAGCAGATTGTCCCCACAGGTCCCTTCCAGACTGAGCACTTCTGTGATCCTGTAGCGCTTGCCTTGAGGGAAGGAAAATCAGGACTGCTGACTCTGCTGCTCCCCAATTTATGACTTGTACAAGCACTGCAGATGCTGTCTTTGTGCAGGTGCTTTGTCTGAAGAATGCCCAGGATGCTCACAATGGGTATCAGTCCCTTCTCTCGGAAATTAATGATCCAAACACCAAATACATCCTGAGAACTGCGAACCGGCTCTATGGAGAAAAGACCTTTGAGTTTCTTCCAGTAAGTAGGCATTAAATTTGTGGCATGTTTTAGGATAATATACTTAG